CACCTGTGGCCACCCAGGCTGTACTCAGTTTAGCAGCTGCCAGACCTTAATCAACTTTCTACAACGATTTTTCCAGCAGCCCTCCCTGATCCACAGGATCAGGTTTGGCATTTAATCCCACTGGTAAAATATATCTAGATTTAATCTCTACAATGACATTTTCCTTGTTGAATGTCATATTATTACTTTTAAGCTACTTCACAATTTTTCTGGCCAAAAGACCAGACTCTTTTTTTTTCCAAGATATTTACAAGAATAGCCCTTGAGGAAGGGTGCTATGATTATGTTAATTTCCACATTGCTAGGCTTAGCTGATACAAAAATACCTTCTGGATTTATACATCCTGTTATTTATTCTTTGACTAATTTGCATGCAAGAATAAATTTAAAAATAAAATTATGTGTAGGAAAGGGTAAGAAAAGAAATAGCCAACATCCTTACAATCTTTTGAAAAGTCAACACATCAGATGCCTGAAGAGAGAAATTTCAAGTGTGACTTCCTCGCTCTTCTTGTTCTTAGAACTGACAAAAATAAACATTGGCAAACACACTACATTTTTTGTTTCCTAATCTTTAGTTTTGTCTTTGTTTAAATAGCCTAGGATCACAGAACAAGTTATAGTGAATTAGTATCGTGCTGAGGAGTTTCAAGCTATTTCTACACAGGTATAATCTTTCTTCACTGGAAAAGTTCTTACATAGTACAGTTAGAATACATCTCCTTTAGTGTTTATATTCAGATCAGGTGTGTGCTTTTGAAGCACACTTCCCAAATGTCCCCCGTTACTGTGCTTTGGTGCACACTTCCAAAATGTTTTGGACTGCATGACCTGGATTCCTTTTGGAAGAAATTAAACCAGAAGGTTTAATGCATTCCAGAGAGTGCTATTGTGCATTCAGTCCATAGGACCAGACTACACATAATCTGCAGTAAAATCCTTGAAACACATACAAGATAAACATCAGGTCCTCAGCACCAACTGTTTCACTTTACATACCTACTCCTGCATTGCACTACTTGTTAACATACACAGTCTCTGATTTCCAGAATGAAGAATTGACCACGACTACCCTGAGCACCAGAGAGGTGCTGTACAATGTGACTGCGTGCATTCACTTCAAAGACGACTTACACGTGAATAGCTCAAAATTTTCAGTTCAACTTATATTGCTCTTGGTTAAAGATCTGAAATGCTCAAAGCTAGAAATTTAACTATCAGTACTACAAACAAACATGTTAGGCTATCAACCTCGTACAGTAAAACCATCTTAATATCCATAACTCTTAATCAACTCTACAAAACGGAGTAAAGAGAGAATCTGACTAAATGAGCAAGAGTACTGGAGAAATCCCACCTTTTTCTCCAGCAAGTAGCATGAACCTACTTGAGAATGAAATGGTAGGAAAGAGGAAAAGAGAGAACACCTCAGGCAGTAACGACAGACCTGCCTGGTCTTAAAGTACGCGGCAGAAGCTGTCAAGAGTTCTGCCTCTCAGACAGCGCACAGATTTCAGCTTTGCTAGCATCCCTGTGTTCAGAGAAACCTCGAGGCAGGTGATCTTGATATTACAAAACTATTATCTAACCTACATACTAAACAGCTGTTTTCTCTACTAAAAGGGGTTGGTTGGTTTGTTTCCTGGATAATATTCTTCTAGATTTTTTTTTTCTCTCAACACACTACTGACTTAAAAATCATGCATAAACACCACCAAACACACAAGGATCAACCACTACATTCCTGACAGGTACCAACCTACTACAAACATTAAATAAATCTTCATATTCTTGCCAAGCACACAAGTGCTCTTGTAAATAATGGCCTCTTCTCAGTTTACCTCTCAGTATTTTCTCTCTCCCTCTTCCTCCTTACTCCTTCCAAATACCCAAACTCCCTTCACCACTCTGTTCTCTTTCACTTACGTCTGAATCACACCACCTAAAATACATATTTATTCCCCTATACCTGTACTAATATTTACTTATCTGAACAATTAAACTACAGCTTATTATCCTACAGTACTGCATGGATAATGTTCTGCAGAAGAACAGACTCAGCGTATCCACTCCTTCGGACTTTAAAATCAGGGAAAGTTCATAATGAGCTTTGCTTTCTGTTCTATTGTTTTTATTAATACTACTTGTCAACTTTTTTTTTCCTCCTAAGACTAAAATTTTTAGCTATCCAGTTCTATTTAGGTATTGAATAAGATGTTGAAGTGTGAGGAAGAGGGAAACTTGGGAGAAGCAAGGTTATAGTAACAGACTTCAGTTTTCAAAATAAGCTAGTAATGTTAATGTTATCAACATTGATTCTTATTACCTCGAAGTAAGAAATATTTATTTGGGGATAAATGAATATATAATGCCATTCATATACGAATGAGCTTCACTGTGAAGCTTCGTAATAGGAGTAGCATATAAACAGCGTAACAGCAAAAAGAATCAAAACCCCAAACCAAGGTCTAAAAACGCCATGTTGTGCCTGCATATTTTAGTCCTCTAGTATAACTGTAAAGATTCCCAGTAGTCTGCTTAGTACACTCACACACACAAAAAGAAAACCCTGAAAATATGACCTGTTCAGATCTAGATGATCATGACATCTCAAGTATATGGAAACACTCGTATCACATTTGGTGTGAACTGAGTTCATTATTTCTGTAAAAATGGTATTTTCACTACATGATACATTTTCTGAGACATTTTAAATCAAATTTTATTGCGTTCTTAGTGCAATACAAAGTCTAATTATGACGTCCACATATATTAAAAAGAAATCTCCACTCTGTAAAATCTATTTTCCTAACTCTTCCCTTTCCTATTAGCTAAATAACAAACACTGGTTGAATTGTTCTTCTGTCATTCATAAGCAGTGTTCGAATTATTTTCTTTTTCCTCCTGTTTCAACATTAATCTGAAGTCCTCAGTTTGTCTTTCAGTCCAATTTTATAGAAGCATTTTGGAGCCAGCCTGCAAATTTCAACGTTGTTTTTCTGGGGGTTTTTTTTGCTTACATGTAAGAGAGGCAAAATATGATGACGTATAGGAATATACGTAAGCAACAAGTTACGTAGAAGAGGTAGTAGCAAGCAGCCAAACAACAATAAAATAGCAAATTCTCTACTAAGGTGCATAATTATGTTTCAGAGCATAGCTAAGAGCAAGAAACACCCCAAGAAAGTACACTCAGCTAAAGAGCAACTGTAAGTTTTCCATTCAGTGCAGTTAAAAATCTCTACTTCAAAATGACTTTTTTTTTTTTTAATTGTTAACATAATATATCCGAGTGCTTTATTACCTGCACTGTGCGGGTAATCAGGACTGATGTATACAACTATCAAAAAAATACACAATTATCAAGAAAAAATGCACAGCTTTTCTCCACTGAAGTACTGCATTTTCTAAGACTGTAGGGTACGCAATCCTGCTGTAAATAACTGCTATCAGTTAACTTACAGCTTTTAAGCAATGAAAATAACGTTTGTAAAGTTCTCTTACCTCACTCACGAGCATGCATTTTGGAAGAAATCATCACTTGGTATAAATCACTATAGTCAACAGAGAGAGATCATTACAGGCTCTAAAGGCCTATTCTCATTCTTTTTTTCTCTATTTTTTTTTCTACGGAGGCTGAGGGGTTTGTTGTTTTTACTCAAACTGTATGACAAATCAAGAAAAAATTAGAATTGGCACTATTTCAGAGCTGGTCTTGTTTACCATTCTTCCCACTCACAGCCATGTAGAACATATATGGTAATGAAATTTCTCCTGGTGCAAAAACAGTAATATGGGACAGTAACAACAGAAAAGATTTTATAGCACTTCTTGAAGTGATTTAACAGCTGTAAAGAAGGAGAAACAACTAACAACATGGGACTAGACTGCTCCCAGTGAACCACCAGGAAGCATTGCACAAACTACTAGTAACTTCTAAAGTAAAGTTTGGGGCACACGAGCTAAAACTTTATCTAGGACCTCCAGTTAATACCCTCAAGACCTAGGTAGAATGGCAGAAAATTGAACAAACAGTTTTGATCTTATCTTTACTCATTTAGAAAGTTAGCCTGTGCGCAGATTTGCATATGGAGACTACTAACTTAACTATCACCCTCCCTATTTCCTAATAGAACTTTCTTGGTTTGGCCTCAAGGCTGCCTTGACTTCTGTAAGCAGTAACAGATCCCAAGGGATTACTAGAAAAGCTACAGTTTACTTCTAACTTTTTGTTTGCTTTCTGATGGTGGATGGGGAGGCCAGAGGCAGGTAGTATATGGAATGCTAGACCAGTTTAACTTCACCTGGAGATCTCCCTTTACTAAGGGAATTCACATCTGGCTGTTTGAAGACAGCTCTCCATCTCTTTGCTGGCTGAGTGGGGCCAAGATCTCACCTTTGTCCTCTAATAAATATACATACGTGACAAGACTTCTCCCTAAAACAGGGAACCTTTGTGCTAACTGAGACTCAAGGTTCAAAAATAATCTTGGAGACATCTGCAACTTGCCTTTTATTTTGCTTTCAGTTAAATAAAGTCTTTTTGCAAATTAATATTTGTCATCAGTTAGTAAAGTACAGTCTCTACAAAAACTCAGTGACTGGATTTTAAGGAGACAGTAAGAATCAAAGCACTGGATATTGAAGTTTCAAGAACAGTGAAGCCTTTACAGAATTGTTTACTCAGTAAACAATCACAAACGTTAATTTATATCTATAAATAACCACAGGTTAAAGGAAGACATTAGTACTGCTATTATATCAACATATAAGAAATTGAACACAGAAAAAATAGAAGGTCAGTAAGGGAGTCATAATTAGAATTTAACAGTTAATGACAAATCTTTGCCTCCTACTTTGACAAGTATAAAATATCTTGGTTGGTATAGCCTAATCTCTACACAAACAGTAATTATTTACTTTTTGCCACACGCAGTTCTTAAGACAATCCTCAAGTATCCATAAAAACTAAGCTACGCTTACCGTTGTGTGGGACTTACCCTAGTGTGAGTGCGAATATGCATCTTCAATCCATCATTCTTGCTGAAAGCTTTGTCACAGTAAGGACACTGGTAAGGACGCTCACCTGAAAACAAGAAAAGCATTAGAATCCATAAATATGGCCTCAGCATATGAAGGCCTTGCAGCATGGTTATTTGTCAAACAGAAATACTTCTTTTTTCTGGCCTTTTCTTTACACTCAGTTCAAAAAAAGAAGATATCTAAGCATTAGGAAAATTACAAATAAAGGTCCACCTGAGCAGGATGCAGGACTACATCAAAATACTACTCTCTGCTGCTTGGTTTTGTTCCAGCAATGTATCACACAGAGAGCCTT